TGAAAAACAAAAAAGAGATCAGTTTTGTGTAAGACCTCGTGTGAGATCATACACACACCTGATTCGTTTTCCATGCGTCCTTCACCTTTCTGATGGAGATGATCTGGTCGGGTATATAAGACTCAACACACTTGTGATACGCCACTCTCAGCTGTCTCTTGACGCCAACATGATCTTGGTAAGATATACTTCTACACCTAATACCAGTCTCAAATGTATGAACTATGTCTAGAAGCGATTGAAAATATTAGTGCCAGCTTCCATTTGTGTAACGCTTTATGTAACACTTCCGTTTTTTTATAAATCGCTTCTTTCAAAACCTATAAGAAACGCAGTGCAAAAGTGATGTTAATGTCTTTTAAGCTAAATTTAGAAGGCATCGGAAAGTTAAGTATATTGTTTTTTGTTCTGCAGAAAGTGATATTGTGCACCTTGTTGGCTCTTGTGGGGGCAGAAAACCTCCCGTCGACTTTTTACGGAGCACCAGCCAGAACTAGTGGAAGCTTCGGCACTTCGTCAGTTAGAAGCTCGGCAGCTGGTTTCGGAGGAACATCAGCAGGCTTTGGGACCTCAGCTAGTGGAATTTTTGGAGGATCGGCCGGTGGAGCCTTCGGAGGTTCTGTTGGAGGCTCTGGAAGGCCAACTGGTGGAGCCTACGGAGGTTCTGCTAGAGGAAGCTTTGGTAGGCCAGCTGGTGGAGCCTTCGGAGGTTCTGCTGGGGGAAGCTTTGGAAGACCAGCTGTTGGAGCCTTCGGAGGTTCTGCTGGGGGAAGCTTTGGAAGGCCAGCTGGTGGAGCCTTCGGAAGCTCTGCTGGGGGAAGCTTTGGGAGGCCAGCTGGTGGAGCCTACGGAGGTTCTGGGGGAGGTTTTGGAAGGCCAGCTGGTGGAGCCTTTGGAGGCTCAGTTGGTGCAGGTTTTGGGGGAGCTGGAAGCGCAAGTTCCTTCAGTGGAGGTTACAAACCTTCAGGTCCCGTAGTCCCCATCTTAAGAGACGACCGTCAGGGACCTGATGCGTATGGAAACTACAATTTCAACTTTGAGACTGGTGATGGCATCAGTCGCCACGAGAAAGGTGCCCCTCAGGGTCCAACTGGCGCTGTGGCAGCTCAGGGAGGATGGTCGTGAGTAATCTATAGTTCAACAGTCAATCACAGACTAAGGGTATAATGTTTTTCTTGGAATGTGGAAAATTCACTTTTGATAATGAATCTAACTGCAGAGTTTTGTGTTTCAGATTTACTTTCCCTGATGGAACTCCCGCTGTATTCAACTTCGTAGCAGATGAAGGTGGTTACCGCGTGGAGTCTGACCTGGTGCCCACGCCCCATCCTCTTCCCGCCCACGCTATCGCCCAGATCGAGAAGGCTCGTCGGGAAGATGCTGCCGCAGCTGCTGCAGGTGGACGTGGATCATACGGCGTTGCTTCAGGTTCCACCACTCAATTTACTGGAGCACCTGCTGGTGGCTTTGGCGGCGCACCTGCTGGTGGCTTTGGCGGCGCACCTGCTGGTGGCTTTGGCGGCGCACCTGCTGGTGGCTTTGGCGGCGCACCTGCTGGTGGCTTTGGCGGCGCACCTGCTGGTGGCTTTGGTGGCGCACCTGGTGCTGGCTTTGGCGGCGCACCTGGTGCTGCCTTTGGCGGCGCACCTAGTGCTGCCTTTGGCGGCGCACCTGGTGCTGCCTTTGGCGGCGCACCTGGTGCTGCCTTTGGCGGCGCACCTGGTGCTGCCTTTGGCGGTGCACCTGGTGCTGCCTTTGGCGGTGCACCTGGTGCTGGCTTCGGAAGCCCAAGTCGTGGTGGCTCTCCTGCGGCTCCCAGTAGACTTTACGGCGCCCCATAAGCAGTGACCCCATAATTCTCCTGTCATTCATTAGAAATTTTCTCGCTTGAAACCTCATTGATTTGTGTGATGACTTTCATGTGTCAGTAACGCTAAGTTAGTTTTTATCTTAAGTTACATCTTCTGCCGTCGCTCGGACAATACGCTTATTACTCTTACTTTTACGTATTTAGTAAAAATAAAATGATCTGATATATGCTTTACTTTTAAACTCCAACAATATATAATTTCGAGGAAAAAATCGTATTCCTAGAACAACTTATGAAGCAATAGTCACTTTTTCAATAATGCTTTTTAGATGGAGGATAGTCTATGCGTTCATCATATTTTGTCATTGTGATCAAATGTATATACGTTTTTCATGATAACTTAAGTACACTCAAGTGATCATGGAAACTGCACCGTGAGCCTTTCTGTGTCGACCTACGCATGTCTCCACAGTGTCTTCGTACCTTATCTTATGTTTGTGATGAGTGGTAAGTGTGGTGGTTGTTACTTGCTTTAGTGAGTAGTACCTGTGTGCTGCTTGTTACCTGACTGTGGTGAGTGGTAGATGTGTGATGGATGTTTCCTGACTGTGGTGAGTGGTAGATGTGTGATGGATGTTTCCTGACTGTGGTGAGTGGTAGATGTGTGATGATTGTTACTTGACTGTGATGTGTGGTAGATCTGTGATGGTTGTTACCTGACTAGTGAGTGGTTACTAACCTGACTGTGGTGAGTGGCAGCTGTGATAGTTGTTAACCTGGCTGTGGTGAGTGGTTGCTGTGTGATGGCTACCTGACTGCGATGAGTAGTTGCTGTGTGTCGGTTACCTGACTGTGGTGAGTGGTTGCTGTGTGATGGCTACCTGACTGCGATGAGTAGTTGCTGTGTGATGGCTACCTGACTGCGATGAGTGGTTGCTGTGTGTTGGTTGTTACCTGACTGTGGTGAGTGGTTGCTGTGTGTTGGTTGTTACCTGACTGTGGTGAGTGGTAGATGTATGATGGCTACCTGACTCTGGTGAGTGGTTGCTGTGTGATGGGTTCCTGACTGTGGTGAGTGGTAGATGAATGATGAGTACATGACTGTGGTGAGTGGTTGCTGTATGTTGGTTGTTACCTAACTATGGTTAGTGGTAGATGTATGCTGGCTACCTGACTGTGGTGAGTGGTTGCTGTGTGATGGCTACCCGACTGTGGTGAGTGGTTGCTGTGTGGTGTCTACCTGACTGTGGTGAGTAGTTGCTGTGTGGTAGTTGTCATCCTCCTGGACAAGTTTTTATAAGTGAATTTAATACTTAGTTTTACTCTCAATTAGGTGTATAGAACAGTAACTCTCAGTGGAAATATTACCTCCAGCAAGACCAAACCCCCACCACCAGGTGGACTGTAAAGTACCACTGTGCAACTCACGTCCTGTCTGCAGTAAACACCACCACTAGGTGTTCAGTGAACTCATTAAATAACCCCGCCTTATGTATGAACACTCCGGTTATTTACCAGAGGCAGAATGAGAGTATCTGAGAGTCGTCTACTAACCTACAACTGCATATACATTTTGATGACTTTCATGCAGGTGAGGCTTTACAGCCTTCCTGCATTAGACGTTGTAATCAAAAATGCTTGAAGACTTCAGATTGGGTTGTTCCAGAATGTTGCATTAATCGTCTGGGAAATTAAATAACACGGCTCATTTGTAGAAAAATTCTCTCGCTGGTTCGGCAAATCTGCCCTCAACCCAGATATTAGTTCTTGTGTAATGTTAGCAAATAACTGGAAGCAATATTGTTGACGGATCAAGGATGTATAATCAAAGAAGCAACATCTGCATCTGCTTCAATTGCAAATTCTAGACCTCATCTCGTTCGAAGCTGAATGCCAATTAATTAATTGGATTTTTTTTATTAACGTATAATTGACCAGTTTAAAGTTATTATTTTGTAACCCTTCTAATTAAAGCCATTAAATTTATATTGTTAGCTAAGTAGCTAAATTCACCCTTTTAATGGCATTTCAGTCAAGGTATTTTACTACCGTTCAATACTTAATTACCGAATTATTTCTGTCTGAGCCCTGATACTGGAAATTCAGAATAAAGGAAAGTTGTCGTAGTAGTGCTGGAAACAGCATGACCCTCACGGATTTAGCTCTTCCCATGAATAATAATTAGCAGTGTCAGAAGACAGAGGTGTCTTCTATTATGGAAGGTCCTCTGGAATCGATGTGTGGAAATTGAATCATGTGATTCTGGCAGATGTTTTTTTTTTCAAAAATATTAACGTATTTTTTCATTCGAACGATGTAGGTTCAAACCAACGAACTCAGACAAGAGTGTGTACCCGACCGTATGACCGGGTACACTTTTTTCTATTTGTACCTGACCATATGACCGGGTACACTTTTTCCTATTTGTACCCTGCCATATGACCGGGTACACTTTTTCCTATTTGTACCCTGCCATATGACCGGGTACACTTTTTCCTATTTGTACCCTGCCATATGACCGGGTACACTTTTTCCTATTTGTACCCTGCCATATGACCGGGTACACTTTTTCCTATTTGTACCCTGCCATATGACCGGGTACACTTTTTCCTATTTGTACCCTGCCATATGACCGGGTACACTTTTTCCTATTTGTACCCTGCCATATGACCGGGTACACTTTTTCCTATTTGTACCCTGCCATATGACCGGGTACACTTTTTCCTATTTGTACCCTGCCATATGACCGGGTACACTTTTTCCTATTTGTACCCTGCCATATGACCGGGTACAAATAGGAAGCGCATGTGTCTGGCGTTCACAGAGGACCGAACCTCCACCACGTCTTCCGCTGAATAATCCGCATTTAAAATGAATTATTAATTATCAGTGCTTTATCAACTTATGTTACAAACAAGTTACTGAGAGTTTTTTGTACCTAGCGACTTCCTTGAAACTATGATGTACATACTGTGGTATGGCAATAATTTTTTTCCCGAAGAGACAGGTGCCAAAGAAGGAATGTATGCCTAGGGCCTACGATGGTCTGGAAACTGCAATGGGTATTGATAGATGGTGAACCGCATAACGAGGAACCTGCAAGTTTGTCCCCCTGATTCCAGAATGCTTCGAGACCCAGATCTTCTTGCAGAAGACACAACACTGTGCTAAATGTGACGAGATTGTTGCGAAGAGCTCATGTTGCACTGAGAGAGCAGCCACTTCAGTAAAGGAAGACGAGGGATGAGAACCAATGTTGATGACAGGTGCAAGTGAGTATAAATCTGCAATGACAATGCTAGCTGTATCCGGTAAGTGCCCCTGGTACTGCACTCTCAGTAAACATTGCTGGGTATCGTACGCCATAGTTATGCAAATGGATCAGATGATTGCAACATTTGAGTATCTTTATTGTGGAAACTTTTCACTGGTCAGTGGCTTCCTCAGTCCAATACAGAGAAGAAAGGTGAAAGATGAGGAGTTTGAGGTAACCAGTCGCTTAGCCTAAAGTCGATATGTTCAGCCCATCAATATTGATGATAATACAGCATATGTTAGACATGCGAGATGAAGCAGTCGTGGGCGGTGTCACCATGGAAAAATGGACAGGTGGAAGTAGTTCATGCCTATAGCTTAGGCAAGTGTAGAATAATTCCCTGTATCAGACTGCTTCGCCTGGCCTGTCTGCAGTACATAAGCCCTTTCTCCGAGCATATGCTATACTTTTATTAAGACTGATAGATTGAACTCATTACAGGCTGAGGGACTGATTACCTCAAACTCCTCATCTTCCACCGTTCTTCTCTGTATTAGACTGAGGAAACCACTTGCTGGCGTAACGTTTTGCGCAAGTGTTTCATTCATCAGTGTACATAGAATGTGAGTGTGATGGAAAATTCTCAAGTGGAAGCTCATATCCTTAGCAGACATAAGAAATTTTGAAAAGATTAAGGAAGAAGGAACATGTTTCAGTCCCCGGCACCTCCTAAGATCACAGGGAAAACAAACGAGTGAAATGAAAAAGCCGGCAGATTCAGGGTCAGCAACTAGATCCTGAAGGAAAAGATTAAAGGAACTTAAACCATGGAATGGGTGGGGTTTAAACCCCTCCCGTTCCATGGTTTGCTTGCAATCGTGTTACTAAGAACTTAAGAAAAAAAAGGCAACGACTGATAGAACCAATTTTACTTAAGTATTTATTCTATAGATTTTAGGGTCATAAAGATGGTACAAGTGATAACGGAAACAGAGTATATATGGACGGGTTTGTAATGAAGGAGAATTAGATTCTACAGATTTTCGAATGGGGACGAACAAGAGGCAGAAACTAATGCAGTGCTTGATGAAGGACGACATCAAGTTCAGAGTTGCTGTACAAGCAGAGGATCGCGCTTCCTGTAATCAAATTTATAGGTTAAATATTAAATAACTTAATTTCTCTGAGACACTGTTATTACTTGGCCTGCTGTGTTAGTTACTGGTTGTCAAAGGCACTTGTTGATAGTGAATGTGTATGTGTGTACGCACGGACACACACACACAAAGAGGCGAGTTTGTGTGTGTGTGTGTACCCACCTAATTGTATTCACCTAATTGTGGTTGCAGGGGTCGAGACTCAGCTCCTGGCCCCGCCTCTTCACTGAGTGCTACTAGGTCCTCTCTCTCCCTGCTCCATGAGCTTCATCATACCTCATCTTAAAACTATGTGTGTGTACTCACCTAATTGTACTCGCCTAATTGTGGTTGCAGGGGTCGAGACTCAGCTCTTGGCCCCGCCTCTTCACTGATCGCTACTAGGTCCTCTCTGTTTCCTGAGCTTTGTCATACCTCGTCTTAAAGCTATGTATGGCTGCTGCCTCCACTACATCACTTGCTAGGCTATTCTACTTCCTGATGACTCTATGACTGAAGAAATACTTCCTAACATCCCTCTGACTCGTCTGAGTCTTCAGCTTCCAATTGTGACCTCTTGTTTCTGTGTCCCCTCTCTGGAACATCCTGTCTCTGTTCACATTATCTATTCCACGCAGTATTTTGTGTCTCGTTAACATGTCTCCCCTGGCCCTCCTGTCCTCCAATGTCGTCAGTCCGATTTCCCTCAACCTATCATCGTAGGACATACCCCTGAGCTCCGGAACTAGCCTTGTTGCAAACCTTTGCACTTTCTCTAATTTCTTGACATGCTTGACCAGGTGTGGGTTCCAAACTGGTGCTGC